TTTTTTTTTTTTTTTTTTTTTTGTGATAGAGTCTTGCTATATAGCTCGGGCTGGCCTTGAACTCGTGATCCTCTTGCCTCAGCCTGCTGAGTGCTAGGATACGGGAGTGCGAAGGTTCAATCTTTAGTACTTAAAGCAGCAAACAACTTGAAAGTATAAAAACATTGAAGTTTAATATGGATAGAGTTCGATCCCTGGTACCAAATATGAACAGAGAGTAAAGCAGAAATTTAGGTTTCTAATCTAGTAATGTTATTGTAATATTTGAGAGACACAAACAGCATCACATCCGTGTATCTTTTGTGTTACGCATAAGTCCTGGGAGACATGGGTCATTTCTGCAGCTCCTTGTTTGTACAGGGTTTCTGGGCTCTCCCTTCCCATGCATGCTGAGGAGGCAGAGGGAGATGGTTCCCAGGGTCTCCTCTCCTGCTTTCAGAATGGGGCAGTCACAGGACTCTTCTGGCACCTGCTGTTAGTTCAGGTCCCTTTATCCTGAAATTATACTTCCACCAAGAGTAGCATGTTTGGGGTGGTCAAAAAGGGGCCCTCCTGTGGGGCTTGATGCTGTGGTCCTGTGGAATCCGTAGAGCTTGGGTCTTGAATGAGCTAGGTGGGACCTCTGGCATTCCACAGTGTGGCCAGCAGAGGGACTTGGTTCAGGGTGACGTGGGTTCTAAGTAGACCAGGAAGCAAGGCTGGGAGCTGGGTGGAGCTGTGCTGCTCTTTCCTGTACTTGGAGAGGAAGGGGTACAGGTAGCCTGATATCTGCTCTTGAGGGCGCAAGTCCTTCCTGTGCTGGGCCACTGGCCTCCCACCTCCTCCTGAAGCCACGGAGCCAGCCTGACGCCACCTTCCTGCTTTCCATGGGCCCTCACAGGACTGGGGGTTCGTCCGTACCAACGTCTTTGCCGGCACCCGGATTGACCCAAGCGCCCTGGTTCAGAGGCTGGAGCTGGACACAAGGAGCATGGCCTCCCTCGGCAGAGGTGAGTGGCTGTGCGGAGGGCAGGAGGGCAGCGGGGCTGCTGCTGCTGAGCAAATTAACCTCTACATTTTTAGAAAAGATCTGGTTCTTATGAAAAACTTAAAGAATAGTTTTGAAAAAACCCATGAACCTGTCCTGTGTCTTCAGCACCCACATACTAATGATTTTAAAGTGAGTCCCAGACTCTGTTGTTTCATTCAGAAGTCCTTTGATGTATTTCTGGGGCTCTTAACAGAGTTAACCTACAGTACCATCCTCAGGAGGTGGGTGAGCAGTTCCTTCCCATTGAGGGAGCAGTGCTCACGTCCACAGCACTGTCACGGTGGAAACCAGGTAGGACCATGGGTCTTTGCCCAGCTTCTCCTTCAGGTTTCTTGTGATCGGGAAGCAGCTTGCTTTTTGTGCCCAGGGTTTGATAAACTCCCCAAGCCTCCTTTATTCTGTTCTCTGACCCAGCCGACCTGTTAGGCCTGTGGGTGGAGAGCAGCCCTCCACACTGGGAGCTGCGGGGCCCCAGCCTCTGCTTTGGCTCTGGAGAGAAGCCCTTTTGTGTACTGTGAGTGGTGACAGCCATGTGACCAGGTCCTCCTGGGAGGCTGCTGGCCCTGTTCTCTGGGGTCTTCCGCTTTCATTTGCACTTTCCATCCTGTTTAGCCTTTAGGGCTTAGATGGCTTCCTTTTTGTCTCACTGACCCAACACTCATTCTCTGGTCTCAGTGATGTACATAATTTTCTTGACTTAATTGAACCACTGATGAACCACTCCCAGGGTTTTCCTGTTTTTTTTTTTTTTTTTTTTTTGTGGTACCAGGGATCAAACTCGGAACCTTGCATCTGTGAGGCAGGCGTGGTGCCACTGAGCTACATCCCCAGCCCCTGTGATTTTTTTTTTCAAGGTTGTATCTACAGTTTGTGAGCACCTCTTATGAGTTGTAGTAATGTCTCAGGTATGGTTTTAACTGCATGTTTTCTGTGGAGTCTCGTCATCCTCTGCATTGTCATTGCTTTGGATTTTATGATTTCTCCAGGGTCTTGTCTGGGGGCCCTGCTGTCCTTTGAGCCTCAACTCCCTCTTGCTGACAGTTCTCAGGGTGACAGTGGAGTGCATGGCAGCTTGTCCCGCCTGGTGTTTCCTGCCATTGTTGCTGGGCCTGCCTAGCACCTGGCCAGCTGTGTTACCTGAGTCTGCTTTGCGCCTGGAGCCCAGGGCTGCGGTTTTGTGGTGACCCACCGGCGCTCACAGCTTTTTGTATGTTTTTGTTCTCAAGCTTGTGTGTATTTGGAACAGTTTGAGTAAGTTTCCTTAGATGTGAGAATGCTTTGGGGAGGCTACTGGGAATTGAACCCAGGACCTCACACATGCTAGGCACATGCAGAACCACTGAGCCACTGGGTTGGCTCTCCCCGTCATGCACCCCTTGTTGAGTCTCCCTTGTTGGCGCCATGTGCTGGGTGTCCCGTCCCTGGCACACAGCACGTGTGCTCAAGTTTCCCTCCAGTCTCCTGGAGCGTTAACAGTGCATTAACTGCATTGCCTGGCTTTGCAGCCTCCGCCCAGCCTGTCTAGTCCTGTGAAGACCAGGCAGGCTTGGTTTCTGCCTTGTGCTCGAAGTCCCAGGGCTCTAAATCCCTGCTCTGCAGCATGCTGCTCCCTTGGTACCTTTGGGAGGGTCCCCATTCCCTTCCCCATGACAGGGCACGTGGCAGTAGAGCAGTAGTAGCCATCCTGGTGGGCACCTGGCAGGTGAGCATCCTGTGTGCATGCACAGACGCTTTGCCTATCCCCTAGATATAGAGTGTTTTCTCAAAAGTGTTAACTGAACACTTAGTCTGAGTACTTCTGATGGAGATGTACAAGAATCTGGACCCCTTTATTTGTGTGTAAAAGCAGAACCCGCCCAGCCCCAGTTTGCCTGGGTCCTTGGCTTCCTTCCCATGAGGGTCCCGGGGACTGGGTTATCCAGCTGCACCTCCCTGCTGCGCTGTGGTGCTGCCTGGCTCTGGCCCAGTGTGGCCTGCGCTTCGCCAGTTGTAGCTTGTGCCATGTCCCGGGAGGATTCAGAGAGGTGCTTCGTGGGCACCCACCAGGGTCCTGACAACCTGGGTCCCAGATGGCTCCGAGGCAGCCTCCAGTATGTGCTCCTTGGCTGTGCCGCTCCCAGCCCCCACCTCCCAGGGAGCAGCTTGGCTGTCTGTGTCCTGGACCGTGGCTCTGGGCCTTGGCACTGGCCCTGGGTGGACACAGGTGACTGTGGGAGCTCACGGAGGATCTGGCACAGATGGGCCAGCTGTACTCCCTCTGGGCTGTGGTATGAAAGACATGGCCTCTAGCTGTGGCCCTGAAGCTGAGGTCTGCACACCCCAGGGAGTGCCCAGGTGTGGGAGGGCTCCTTCCTCTGGGGCCTGGCCCAGCTAAGCCTCAGGGTTCGCATGGCAGTGGGGCCTGGCTCTGCCCTCCTCACGCATAGGCTGAAGAAGGCCTTGTAGCTCCCAGTCTCCTACCAGGTAGGTAGGTGGGTCACATGACTCCTGCCCATGTGCTCATCCTTGTCTCTGGGGCCCTGGAGCTGAGGTGACTGCAGCGTCATGGTCTGGAGGCAGAGCCCTGCCCAGCTTGGGTCATCCTCCCCTGGGACCCTGCCCTGCCTCAGCACCTGCATCCTGGGGGCGGAGTCCCCAGATGTAGACTTGGGTACTCTGGTTTTTTCTGTTTCTCCTGGAGCCCCCCCACCCCAACCCACCCCCATTCCAGGCAGGGACCCTGTGGCTGGGAGGATCTGCGAATCTCTGCAGCGGTTCCCTAGGAAGAGGGTCAAGGGGAAGGGTAGGAGCGCGCAGAGTGGCTGCTCTGGGGCACCCTAACCTCGCCCTCCAAAGACCCTGCTCCCACACAGGTTCTGCATTGCCCTGTACATCAGGGCCAGTGCTGGGAGGGTCTTCCTAGGGCACCAGGTCTGTGTGAAGCAGCTCTTAGCAACTCCGAGTTCAGTTATGGGTGGGGGTTGAGGGCCGTGGCAGACCCAGGTGAGGCCACCAGCACCCTGCCCGGAATGTGCAGCAAGCTAGGTGCCTTGTGCTCGGCCTGGCTAGGTGCGGTGCTGTCTGGTGCCTGCGTCCTTCCACCTAGACATGGAGCTCATACCAGCACTGTGCTGTCCGGAGAAGACGGCCAGAAGCACGCTCGCATGGAGGCCTGCTGGGACCTCAGACCGCCACCTGGGGGACAGTTCATTGCGGCCTCCAAGCTGGGACCACGTGAGGGAGGCTGTCTTGTCACTGTCAGCTGTGCAGGCCTCCAGGAGCCCTGAGGGCATACAGGTGGCCCTCTTAGGTGTCAGGTCCCCTTTGGGAGGTCTGCATCCCCCTATGCACCCGAGCTCTGCCCAGCAGAGGGCAGCAGAGCCTCGTGTCCTTTCAGGTTGGCTGCTGGAGGACAGGCCAAGGGTGGAGCATGCCGGGGTCGGCTTGCCCCACCTGAGGAGGCCCTGGGTTTCCTTTAGGGGTTTCTAGAAAGATAGTTGTGACAGGAACCTCACGTAACCACCTCTGCACCTTCGTCTGCCTTGCCCCAAACTTAAACTTGCACAGACAAGCTGAGCTCTGAGAGACCTCTGTGAGGCTGTCCTCAGAGGGGGCAGCCCCGCCGGTCACTGTGGGAGCTGCTGAGCAGTGACTCATTTACCCCCGGTGTGGCCAGTCTGGCCCTGTGAGTGTTTCTGTGTGGGGCTGTCATGGCATTTCTTGGGTGTCCTGTCCCACCATCATGGAGTGCAGTGCTGTGGGGTTTTTCTTGGCTAGGTGGACTAGGAGCCAGCATGGAGCCAGTTGACTGGTTCTGTCCTGCCCCCCTTCCCTCCTGCTGACCTGGGGCTTTCTGGGTTCAGTGCCTTTGTCCTCAGGGATGGGGGACCCTGGAGCTCCTTCTTGTAGAGCTGGACAAGCAGGCAATGAGACCAGGCCGTGCCAGACACAGAGGCCCTGTCCTTCCCCAGCGGTGGCCACATCTGCTCAGACAGCCTGGGGCTCAAGTGGAAGCCTCCTGCTAGCCTGCGAAGCGGCTGGAACATGCAGCAGAAGGCTGGTCCTATTGTGGGGCTCAGCCAGTCACGCGGTGTGGGAAACCTTGTCGTTATCTCTAGGCCCAGGGGATGGTTACTGTTCGTTACTTTTCTCTTGCTGCTGAGACAGAATATCTGACTCCCAAAGTTAGGGGACAGGTTTATTTTGTGTACAGTTCGTAGAGGTTTCAGTCCATAATCAGGTGGCTCTGAGGCAGGGTGGATGGCAAACAGGCATCACAGAGGAGAAACAACACGGCTCGCAGAAAGTAGCAAAACCAACAAGGGACCTTAATATGATCTTCCTGCCCCTTTCATCGTATTCAGACCACTTGAGGGTGGGTAGCACTCACAGTCTCAATCCTAGTGCCCTCAGCTCCAGCTGCTGTGAGCCAGTCACACACTCTAGATTCAGCCACCTTTGAAAAAGCACAAGGTTTGGGGGTCATATAAACACAGGCCGTAATAGTTACCCACAGTGGTGTGGGAGCCCATGCTGACCAGGGCCAGCATCTGGCTGTGGCCGGCACTTGCCGGCGTGAGCCCAGTCCTGAGGAGGAGGCCTAGGGAGGCTGTCCCTCGTGTGCGCAGGGCGCTGTGGCAGATTTGAGTGTCGTATGGCCTCTGCCCAAGTTACTGTGGGAGTGACGTTCCACCATCGAGAAGGTGGAGCCGCGGCCCTGCTCGTGGGGTCTGCTGTGCCCAGGCCTGCAGGTGCTGCATGTGTCGTCCTGTCTGCTCACCCACTTCTCCATGGAGCAGCTTGTGCCTGGCTATCACCAGGAGGTGGCAGTGGCCCTGGAAGAGAGGAACGACCTTCAGAGCTCCCGCTGTGGGATGAGCCGCCAGGGCGCTTCCAGCAAGGGTATGGGCTGGAAGACCAGCCCCTGGCCTGCTTTCCTTCCCCTTCCCCGTGTTCTGTCTGGCTGCTCCCTGAGGAAGT